GTATCAGCAGCAGAGGCTGCAGAAGACAAAATATTGCTGAACAGCGAGTGCTGCTGTCTGATTCTTGCTCTGGAAGCTTCGTCTCAGGGGTATACCCCACCGTGTGAGGTGTGAGGTGTTTGTCTGCACCTAGTGGGGGATGACTACCAGTTAGGCTACTCAGGGGTCAGGGACCCACTTGAGCAGGCAGTCTGTCCGTTCTCAGATCTTAACCTCTGTGCTGGGAGATCCACTGCTCTCTTCAAAGCTGTCAGACAGCTGTCAGACTCCACCCAGAGGTGGAGTCTACGGCGACAGGCAGGCCTTCTTGAGCTGTGGTGGGCTCCACCCAGTTTAAGCTTCCTGGTGGCTTTGTTTACCTACTTAAGCCTCAGCAATGGCAGGCCCCCCTCCCCCAGCTTCGCTGCTGCCTTGCCGTTAGATTGCAGACTGCTGTGCTAGCAATGAGGGAGGCTCCGTGGGCGTGAGACCCTCCCAGCCAGGTGTGGGATATAATCTCCTGGAGTGCCTGTTTGCTAAGACTCTTGGTAAAGCGCAGTATTGGGGTGGGAGTTACCCGATTTTCCAGGTGTTGTGTGTCTCAGTTCCCCTAGCTAGGAAAAGGGATTCCCCTCCCCCTTGCGCTTCCCAGGTAAGGCAATGCCTCGCCCTGCTTCAGTTCTCGATGATTGGGCTGCAGCAGCTGACCAGCACCCATTGTCCGGCACCCCCTAGTGAGATGAACCCAGTACCTCAGTTGAAAATGCAGAAATCACCTGTCTTCTGTGTTGCTCGCGCTGGGAGCTGGAGACTGGAGCTGTTCCTATTCGACCATCTTGCTCTGCCCCGCCTTCTCATGATTTTTAAAGGTAATTCATAAAATCCTTGTTAGGTTTGATGACAGGTACCATATTAAGGGCAGCATTTTATAACCCGTATCTTAAACATCATCTCTGGAAGTTAAGAGCCTGCAATGGGTTTTCTATAGAGTGCACATGATACTGCACTCAGGCAGTTCATGAAGTGTAAGAAATATCTTAGTGCTTTGGTATTTGACATTTTAACCAAGAAAAAAATACACTTTGATAAGTTTAGCTTATACTTCCCTTCCCCTTCAGGTATCTACTGTGCATTTCAGTCAACAATACAGCTCATGTTCGACAGTCTTCCTTGATGACAGCACAGCCAGCCAGCCTTATCTTACAATGACAATAATATCGTGGGTACAACTATACTGCCAAGGGATAGATTCGTTTATTCTAAAATTATTTCAGCCATTTTGTTGTCCTCTTCCACAATAAGTTTAAGAAATTGGAGTCAACTATATATTGATATCCAGATTCTAAATATTAAGTATCAATTTCTCTTAATCTTAGATGTCTTGGAAGGAAAAATCAGTTAGCAAAGGAACAATCCCAGAAAAAGTGTGGTTTTTTGATGCCTTTATGCCTTGAGACAATGTTGAATGCAGTTAGAAGGATAGGTTCTCTTTATTGAATGCTTTTTGTGAAAACTTAGTCGTTCAGTGCATTATAGGCCTAAATCAGTGTGTACTACTTTGGACAGTAGCCTTGGAAGAAGGAACAGCTTTTCCTCTTCTGGCACCACAGTGTATCTGCATTTGAATTTCTCCCATTGTGCATGAGCACCTCGTGGGCCACAAAGATGCGCTTTGAGATCACCCTGAGATGAAGTTTATTTTAAAAGGAACAACAACCAACACCAGCACCAGCTCCATAGGGGCTGCCCAGTGTACATTATTATCATCTCCTGGGTCATGAGTGTTGATTTTTAGAACACAGTTTGGAAAGTAGTAATTTAGAATATTAATGTCTTTAATTTTACTATTCATTCTGTAAACATAACTAGCTTATAAACAATTTTGTTTCAAATGCACTAGCCTTTTTAGCGAATTCAATTGGCAGTAACTTTTACTGCAATTAAAAATGGCAAGTTTACACTCGTAATAATGTCACTTTCCTCCCTCCCTTTTAACAATAGTTGTGATGAAATTGTGTTTCTGCAAAAACTGGACTCAAGCTCTATCCATTAAGTCCTGAGCTTTGGGACCTATTGAGTAATCACTAAATGTCTGTAGTCAGCCGAGTCTCTTAAATCTTTGAGCACACATACACAAAAACTGCTTTACCTAGAGTCCCTGGCTTCTTTTGAGTTCAAAAGATTCTGATGTGTTAGCATACAATTCAAAAGTAGCTTTGAAGATTAATCTTGCTCAAACAAATTTCATGCTTTTTTCCTCATTCTACTTTTTGGAAGTCTACTTTTCAAAGTAAAGTCAGTTTTAATTTGCCATCAGCAAGTTTGAGAAATAATCATTTGGTATATTAACTATTGGTGAAATAAAGGTTTATTGAGCAAATTAATAGGGCAAATTGGCTTCAAGAAAAGATTTTGAAAAGTGTTTATGATGAGTCAGTAGTGCACTGTTGTCAGTGGGATAGGTGGAACTCACTGAGATCACTTATGCAAGGTTTTTTTTTTTTTCAAAATACATGTCTGCAAACACATGTATCTTCCCATCTCCACTTTCACTCTATCTCTAGGCACTGAGAAGCCTTTTAGGAAAATAGGGATGGATGTGAGGCATCTTTATGTGAAGAAAAGCATCCCAGAAGATTCTCATTTTCACCCCAGCTCAATCATTCCAAACTTTGCTGCACATTGAAATCACCTGGGAAACTTTTACCAACAACCTTGATGCCCAAACTCATACCCAACACTAATTACATTAAAATGTCTCATGTTGAAGATGAGGCAGTTATTAAAGCATCTCAGGTGATTTTAATGTGCAGCAAAGTTTGAGAGCCACGGCTTCATTTGAGTTTAGGACGAGAAACTGCTCCTATTTGGTGAGACCTTGGGCAAGTCAGTTTTAAGGTTTGTTTCCTTGATCTGCAAAATGAGTGTTGAATTAAATGTCATGTAAGGTCATTGGTCCTTTCCAGCATGTAACTTTAAATTCTGTGATTGTGAAATTATTTCAGAGATGAAAACTACTTGAAGCACTATAGACATACCCATCTTACTTGCTAATGTTACAAGCTTTTAAAAAAGTGCTAATATTGTGTAGACCTATTACTAAAATTGAGATTTTCCTTCCCTCAGTTGTTCTGAGCCTCATTCTACAAAATTAGCTGGACGTGGTTGCACATGGCTGTAATCCCAAATACTCAGGAGGCTGAGGCAGGAGAATTGCTTGAACCCGGGAGGCAGAGGTTGTGGTGAGCTGAGACTGGCACCATTGCACTCCAGCCTGGGCAACAAGAGCAAAACTATTTCAAAAAAAAAAAAAAAATTACCTAGGCATAGTGGCACAAACCTGTAATCCCAGCTACTTGGGAAGCTGAGGCATGAAAATTGCTTGAACCTGGAGGTGGAGGTTGTGGTGAGCCAAGATCGCACCACTGCACTCTAGTCTGAGCAACAGAAGAAGACTCTGGGTCAAAAAATAAATACATAAAATAAATTGCATGGGGCAAAACTTTTGTGGGCAGAAGAGCATATAACAGGGAAATCTGTTATTATTTATATATTATAATAGTCAACAGAAACACATCTTCTAACAGCATATTGCCTCGTATTTTGGTTTTCATATTTTTGTGAAAAACCAAGAAATAAAAACAAAGTGCCCTTATGGTACTGTACTGAACTTGAAAATTTGAATTTCAGGGCTGCTAGGAGAGTTTCCTCTGCCCCCCCTTTAAAAAAGGTCTTCAGGCCTAACAAATGATAATGTCTATTATTATGAATTGTTTTTCCTTCCACAGTGTGACCTTGGAGATACATCATGATTATCACGCAAAGGTGAGCTTTTTAGAAACCTGTCTTGTTATTCTAGCTAATTGCTTTGCAAGATATCAAGCTCAGTGTTAGGTCACAGCTGTAGACATCATATGCTGTATTGTGCCTACTAAAATATCGAAGCAATTTATTTGTGTTTTCTTTGTTGCTTAAGACTCTTTTAATTCTTTTTTTTTTTTTTTTTGAGACAGAGTCTTGCTCTGTCTCCCAGGCTGGAGTGCAGTGGCGCGATCTCAGCTCACTGCAAGCTCCTCCTCCTGGGTTCACGCCATTCTCCTGCCTCAGCCTCCTGAGTAGCTGGGACTACAGGCGCCTTCCACCATGCCTGGCTAATTTTTTTTTATTTTTTAGTAGAGACGGGGTTTCACTGTGTTAGCCAGGATAGTCTCGATCTCCTGACCTCATGATCCTCCCGTCTCAGCCTCCCAAAGTGCTGGGATTACAGGTGTGAGCCACCGCGCCCGGCCAAGACTCTTTTAATTCTTAAATGATTGAGAATCTCAAAGAGTATGTGTGTGTTTATATTGATTATATTGATATTTACTGTGGTAGAAATACAACATTGAGTTTTTTTAAAAAATCTATTTTTAGTTTAGATTTCACAGCCTTACCACTGTTGATATTATGAGCTAGATAACGCTTTGTTGTGAGGACTGTCCTGTGCATTGCAGAGAGTTTAGCAGCATTCATGGCCGCTACCAACTAGATGTCAGTAGCAACCCATGGCCCAGGTTGTGACAACAGAAAATATTCCTTGAGAACAATATTTTTAACAGACATTTTTCATTCAAAAAGTAACTTTTCTACAACAAAAAGTTGAGTAAGAAGTGTGTCATGTATTTATACTATTTAAAGTCTCTCATGTTGAGCTTAATAGGAGACAACTGAATTCTCTAGATCTTTCTTTGCAATTTGCTTTAAAGAAGCAATAAGAGGCCAGGCGCGGTGGCTCATGCCTGTAATCTCAGCACTTTGGGAAGCCGAGGTGGGTGGATAACAAGGTCAGGAGATCAAGACCATCCCGGCTAACATGGTGAAACCCCATCTCTACTGAAAATACAAAAACTTAGCTGGGCGTGGTGGCACACACCTGTAGTCCCAGCTACTCTGGAGGCTGAGGCAAGAGAACCGCTTGAACCTGGGAGGCGGAGGTTGCAGTGAGCTGAGATCACGCCACTGTACTCCAGCCTGGGAGACAGAGCAAGAGTCTGTCTCAAAAAAAATAAATAAAATAAAATAAATAAAATAAAATAAAATAAAATAAAATAAAATAAAATAAAATAAAATAAAATAAAATAAAAATAGCCCGGTGTGGTAGTTCACACCTGCAATCCCAGCACTTTGGGAGGCCAAGGTAGGCGAATCACTTGAGGTCAGGAGTTTGAGAGCAGCCCAACCGACATGGTGAAACCTGCCTCTACTGAAAGTACAAAAAATAGCTGGGCGTGGTGGTGCATGCCTGTAGTCCCAGCTACTTGGGAGGCTGAGGCCGGAGAATCACATGAACCTGGGAGGCGGAGGTTGCAGTGAGCCGAGATCTCGCCATTGTACCACAGCCTGGGAGACAGAGGGAGACTCCATCTCAAAAAAGGAAAAAAAGAAGCAATAAGATGACCTAACCTCATGCAACTATGTAGCTGATAAAAGGTGTATTTTTAAAGTTTGCAGACAGTTGGGGGTATTCTTTAATACTAAATCAAAACTTCACAAGTGCTAGTTTCTTAAATTAGTTATGGTGGCATTTTCCATATTAATAAATTTATTCCATCAGTACTCATTGATCTTTCTTGCACAGTAAATGAATCTTTCACCCCATACTTGCATTTATAATATTATGTATTAGTTAGTTGGAATATATTGGTTTGTGTTTTATTATGTCAAAAATCATTTTTAGTTTAACCACCAATCTTACTTTAAAATGCCTTTAAGTATTGAAAAGCTGTCAAACCTATAGTAGAAGGAACAAATTTTCCAAAGTCCTCAGGAAAGCTTAAATTTTATCATTGGGAACAAATACTTATTTTCCTTGAAGTGATAACGTCTCACTTCATTTATTTTTGAGAATGATAGTTGTACTTTTTTTTTAGACCGAGTCTCATTCTGTCACTTGGCTGGAGTGCTTTGGCATGATCTCAGCTCAAGCAATCCTCTCACTTCAGGCTCCTGTGTATCTGGGACCACAGATGTGTGGCACCACGCCAGGTTGTTTTTGTACTTTTGGTAGAGACAGGGTTTTGTTATGTTGCCTAGGCTGGTCTCGAACTCCTGAAGGAGCTCAAGCCTTCTGCCTGCTTTGGCCTCCCAAAGTGCTGGGATTTTACAGGCATGAGCCACTGCGCTGACCCAGCTGTACTTTTAAATAAAAACGATGTTCTGTGAAAAAGAGATCGTTCAGTTCACAATTAAATCATTAATTATTAAAAAAAAAAAACAGAAAACAACTGTACTGCAGTCAGCAGAAGCGCTTCTTGTTAACTTTCCACTTATTCAGAATATTAAAGAGACATGCCAAGATTTAATAACAACATTAATTTTTACTGCCTCATCAAGAACATTCTTAAGTAATTCAGGCTGTCTTTTTTAACTGTAGGGGACAGTAAATAATAGAATGACTAATGTAATTGGTACCACTGCCTTGATTTATGCTGAGAAACCAGCAGTTTACCCACTTTTGCTTTTATACAGTCATGGCAAGTGTCAACGAAAAAGCAGGCAATAACTTTGTATTAGTTTTACAAATTCTTTAATTTTTATTCAGCTTTCTCAGGTTTAGTTAGTATGATTCAGAACAGTGTCGGCCAGGCACAATGTGGCTCAGGCCTGTAATCTTAGCACTTTGGGAGGCCGAGCCGAGTGGATCACCTGAGGTCAGGAGTTCAAGACCAGCCTGGCCAACATAGTGAAACCACATCTCTACTGAAAATACAAAAATTAGCCGGACGTGGTGGCGGGCGCCTGTAATCCCAGCTACTCAGGAGGCTGAAGTGGGAGAATCACTTGAACCCTGGAAGCGGAGGTTGCCATGAGCTGAGATTGCGCCATTGCACTCCGGCCTGGGCAACAAGAGTGAAACTCGGTCTCAAAAAAAACAAAACAAACAAACAAAAAAAACGGGGTTGACCTCTTAGCCCTTCTGGAAAGGGTCTTGGGGATCCTGAGAGGTCCACAGAGCACATTTGGAAAACCACTGGTTTATCACGTAGGCACAATGCATTAGTTTTACAAAGTTTAAAGTTCATCAAAGACTGGCCTCTTAAAAAGGCAGATGAGTTTTTAATTCAAACAGCAGAAAATACATAAATACATCATGAGAGTATACTACAGAGAACTAAAGAGAAAGGAAGCTAGGAAATCTGAATCACATTTACATTTATTAAAGTTCATCACTACTGCTTTGTAAAACATTCTTGTGTTTCAGTGTGTGATATGGTTAGAAGAGTGAAAATATATTTGGTTGATTGCCATTGCCTGTTAGGGAGAGTCAATACTTACAGGCATTTCTGACTGGTTATCGTATAAAAGACTTCACAGTACAGGACATGAAGTGCCAAGAAAGAAGAAATCAGGAAACGCTCTGCAAGTCAGGATCCAGGAGAATTCATAAAAACTGCTTTGGTGAAGTAAACACCAAAGCACACAGGAGGCAGTATTTTACCAAACAGATATTATACTAAGATATTAACCGTTTTTGAAGTAATGCACATTCTTATTTTATAGAGATGCAGATAGATATTTGAGCCTATTTGATGAACAGTTATACTCATTTACGGTAAGTGGCGCTTTTATTGAGATTGTATTTTCATCATGCACTTATATCTGTTTCATGCTGAAGTCAAAGGCATCTTTTTTTAAATCTTCCCCATTTCATGTCGTATTTAGTCATCTTAAGTGTTGTAAAAAGAATGTGCTGGAATAAGAACTGATCTGCAGCTCTGTTTAGTGAGCTAATATGAGTAAATATACTACCCAAATAACAGAAAATGTATCTTTTTTTTTTTTTTTTTTGAGACGGAGTCTCTTTCTGTAGCCCAGGCTGGAGTACAATCGCATGATCTCGGCTCACTGCAGGCTTTGTCTCCCAGGTCCCTGTTCAATCAATTCTCCTGCCTCAACCTCTCGAGTAGCTGGGATTACAGGCATGTGCCACCGTGCCCAGCCCTTCCTTCCTTCCTTCCTCCCTCCCTCCCTCCCTCCTTCCTTCCTTCCTTCCTTCCTTTCTTCCTTCCTTCCTTTTCAGTAAAGACAGGGTTTCACCATGTTGGCCAGGATGGTCTTGAACTCCTGACCTCGTGATCCACCCACGTTGGCCTCCCTAAGTGCTGGGATTACAGGTGTGAGCCACTGTGCCTGGCCCAGAAAATGTATCTTTTTAAAAGGTAACTGTGAGCTGTCTATAGGACCCTGCAAGTCACTACCCAATTTTCGAAGCCATTCCTCCTTCTGTTCCACACAGGTTTCCACCATACACATTACCCAGACGAGAAATGGAGGTGGGAGTTTTAGTAACGATTCCTCCTCCATTCCATCGACTCCCAGCACCAGCCAGGAGGACCTTCAGATCAATGTTCCTCCCACTGCCAACACACCCACGCCCGTTCGCAAGCAGTCCAAGCACTGGTCCAAGCTGTTCACATCTGAGAAAGGGAGTCACCCAGACAAAAAGAAGAAAGCCCCGGAGAGTCATGCTGACACCATCGGGAGCGGCAGAGCCATCCCCATTAAACAGGGCATCCTCTTAAAGCTAAGTGAGAAATGGCTGAAGAAATGGAAAAAGAAATATGTCACCCTCTGTGACAATGGCGTGCTCACCTATTATTCAAGCTTAGGTGATTACCTGAAGAACATTCATAAAAAAGAGATTGACCTTTGGACATCTACCATCAAAGTCCCAGGAAAGAGGCTATCCCTAGCCACATTGGCCTGCGCGCCTATCTCCAGCTCTAAAAGCAATGGCCTATTCAAGGACATGAACAGTCTACCTATCTCAGCCAATTCAGACACCGGGCTGGGTGACTCTATGCTCCAGCTCCAATATCTCCAGCACCACCAGACCCAAGCTCAATCCGCCCCACTCTCCTCATGCCAACAAAAAGAAACACCGAAGGAAGAAAAGTACCAACAGCTTGAAAGACGATGGCCTGTCCAGCACTTCTGAAGAAGAAGAAGAAAACTTTATCATTGTGTCCCTCACTGGCCAAATGTGGCACTTTGAAGCCACAACGTATGAGGAGTGGGATGCCTGGGTCCAAGCCATTGAGAGCCAGATCGTGGCCAGCCTGTAGTCATGCGAGAGCAGCAAAAGCAAGTTCCGGCTGATGAGCCAGAGCAAGGCCATGGCCCTGCAGTCCATCCGAAACATGTGTGGGAACTCCCACTGTGTGGACTGCGAGACCCAGAATCCTAACTGGGCCAGTTTGAACTTGGGAGTCCTCATGTGTATTGAATGCTCAGGGATCCACCGTAATCTTGCACCCACCTTTCCCGAGTCCGATCTCTGGACCTGGGTGACTGGCCAGTCGAGCTCATGCAGGTTTTGTCATCTATTGGCAATGAGCTAGCCAACAGCATCTGGGAAGAGAGCAGCCGGGGCAGATGAAACCCTCAGTAGATTCCACAAGGGAAGAGAAGGAATGGTGGAACCGTGCCAAATATGAACAGAAGCTCTTCCTGGCTCCATTACCCTCCACGGAGCTGTCCCTGGGCCAGCACCTGCTGCAGGCCACCGCTGATGAAAACCTGTGGCCAGCCCTCCTGCTGCTGGCACATGGCTCCCGGGAGGAGGTGAACTTGAGACCTGTGGGGAGGGAGACAGCTGCACGGCGCTCCATCTGGCCTGCCGCAAGGGGAATGTGGTCCTGGCGCAGCTCCTGATCTGGTACGGGGTGGATGTCATGGCTGGAGATGCCCACGGGAACACAGCGCTGGCCTACGCCCGGCAGGCCTCCAGCCAGGAGTGCATCAACCTACTGCTGCAGTACTGCTGCCCCGACGAGCGCGTGTAGTATCTGTTTAATTTTATTGGACTGCAGTCTCTTTGGTGCAAAAACAAAATGGGAAAAATAAATAAGAATAACTCAGAAATTCAAAAAGAAATCACAAATTCAGCTAATAATAGCATTTTGAGTACATTTTGTAAAATAAGTAAATACACAAAATGTTGGTTTTTCCAACCGTAAGATAAATTTTATGTTCTTTTGCTTAGTGTGTGTGTTAGTCTCAGGCCCTCCTGGGCCACATGCCTGAGTAACACAGGCTTCTGTATTTTGTATTTAGATAAGATGTGTCAAAATATATTTGAGAAAAGTTCATAACTGTGCATTGATTTTTGTACACATGGCACCTCTCTCTTTTTTTTTTTAGATGGTGTCTCGCTCTGTCACCCAGGCTGGAGCACAGTGGCATGATCTCGGCTCACTGCAAGGTCTGCCTCTTGGTTTCACGCCATTCTCCTGCCTCAGCCTCCCAAGTAGCTAGGACTATAGGCACCTACCACCATGCCTGGCTAGTTTTTTGTATTTTTAGTAGAGATGGGGTTTTACTGTGTTAGCCAGGATGGTCTTGATCTCCTGACCTTGTGATCCACCCGCCTCGGCCTCCCAAAGTGCTGGGATTACAGGCTTGAGCCACTGCGCATGGTTGGATGTTGATTTTTATCAGAAGCCTTTTCTGCATCTATTGAGATAATCATGTGGTTTTTGTCTTTAGTTCTCGTTATGTGACAGATCACATTCATTGATTTGTGTATGTTGAACCAACCTTGCATCCCAGGGATAAAGCCTACTTAACTGTGATGGACAAACTTTTTGATGTGCTGCTGGATTCAGTTTGCTGAGTTTTGTTGAGAATTTTTGCATTGATGTTCATCGAGGATATTTGCCTGAAGTTTCCTTTTTTTGTTGTATCTCTGCCAGGTTTTGGTATCAGGATGATGCTGGCCTCACAGAGTGAGTTATGAAGGAGAAGGAGTCCCTCCTCCTCAATTTTTTGGAATAGTTTCAGCAGGAATGGTACTAGCTCTTCTTTGTACTTCTGGTAGAATTCAGCTGTAAATCTGTCTGGTCTTGGGCTTTTTTTTTTTTTTTTGGTAGCCTATTTGTTACTGATTCAGTTTCAGAGCTCATTCACTATTGGTCTGTTCAGGGATTCAGTTTTTTCCTGGCTCAGTTTTGGGAGGGTGTATGTGTCCAGGAATTTATCCATTTCTTTTAGATTTTCTTGTGTCTGCATAGAGGTAGTCATAATATTCTCCGATGGTTATTTGTATTTCTTTGGAGAAATATTTCTCCTCCATTGTTTCTGATTGTGTTTATATGGATTTTCTCTCTTATTGGTCTAGCTAGCAGTCTTTCTATTTTATTGATTTTTTTCAAAAAGCCAACTCCTGGATTCATTGATCTTTTGAATACTTTTGTGTTTTAATTTCCTTCAGTTCAGCTCTGATTTTGGTTATTCATTGTCTTCTGCTGGCTTTGGGGCTGGTTTTCTCTTGGTTCCTTTGTTATTTTAGTTGTGATGTTAGGTTGTTACATTGAGATATTTCTAACTTTTTGATGTGGGTATTTAGTGCTGTCAATTTCCATCTTAACACCACCTTGATTGTGTCCCAGAGATTCTGGTATGTTGTATCTTTTTTCTCATGAGTTTCAAAGAACTTCTTAATTTTGACCTTAAGTTCCAAAAGTCATTTAGGAGCAGGTTTATCCAAAAAGTCATTTAGGAGCAGGTTATTCGATTTCCATGTAATTATATGATTTTGAGTGAATTTCTTGGTCTCGATTTCTAATTTGATTGCACTATGGGCTGAGAGATTGGTCATTATGATTTCACTTCTTTTGCATTTTCTGAGGAGTATTTCCTGTATTATTCTGTGACTGATTTTGGAGTATGTGCTATGTGGTGATGAAAATGTATATTCTGTTATTTTAGTGAAGAGAGTTCTGTAGATGTCTGTCAAGTTCATTTGATCCAGTGCTGAGTTCAAGTCCTGAATATCATTGTTAATTTTCTGCCCCAGTGATCTATCTGATACTGTCAGTGAGATGTTAAAATCTCCCACTACTATTGTGTGGGAGTCTAAGTCTCTTTGAGGGTCTGTAAGAACTTGTTTTATGAATCTGGGTGCTCCCGTTTTGGATGCATAAATATTAATATTTAGAATCGTTAAGTTTTCTTGTTCAATTGAACACTTTACCATTATGTAATGCTGTTCTTTGTGGTTTTTGATCTTTGTTGGTTTGTAAAGTTTGTTTTGTCTGAAATTTGGATTGCAACCCCTGATTTTTTTCTGTTTTCCATTTGCTTAGTAGATTTTTCTCTGTCCCTTTATTTTGATCCTATGGGTGTCATTGCATGTGAGATGAGTCTCTTGAAGACACCATACCAATGAGTCTTAAATCTTTATCCAGATTGCCATGGTATACCTTTTAATTGGGGCATTTAGCCATTTACATTCAAGGTTAGTATTGATATGTGTGGATTTGATCTTGTCATGATGTTAGCTGGTTATTATGTGGTCTTCTTTGTGTGGTTGCTTTATAGTATCATGGGTCTGCATACTTCAGTATGTTTTTGCAGTGGCTGGTATGGTCTTTCCCTTTCACATTTGGTGCTTCCTTCAGGAGCTTTTGTAAGGCAGGTCTTGTTATAACAAATTCTCTCAGCATTTGCTTGTCTGAAAAGGATCTTATTCCTCATTCACTTATGGAGCTTAATTTGGCTGGATATGAAATTCTTGGTTGGAATTTCTTTTTATTAAGAATGTTGAAGATAGACCACCAATCTCTCCTGGCTTGTAGGGGTTCTACTGAGAGGTCCACTGTTAGCCTGATGGGGTTCCTTTTGTAGGTGACCTAACCTTTCTCTCTAGCTGTCTTTAGCATTTTTTTTTTTTTTTCATTTTGAGTTTGGAGAATCTAATGAGTATGTGTTTTGGGGATGATCTTCTTGTGAAATATCTTACTAGTGTTCTCTGCATTTCCTGAATTTGAATGTCAGTCTCTCTAGCTAGGTCAGGGAAGTTCTCATAAATGATATCCTGGAATATATTTCCCACATTGCTTATACTCTCTTCATCTCTTTCAGGGACACCAATGAGTCATAGATCTGGTCTCTTTACATAATCCCATATTTCTCAGAGGTTTTGTTCCTTCCTCTGTATTTTATTTTCTTCATTCTTGTCTGCCTGTCTTCTTTCAGAAAGCCAGTCTTCAACCCCTAAGATACTTTCCCACTTGGTCTATTCTGCTATTAATGAAATTCTTGTAGTGCGTTTTTTTAGCTCTATCAAATTGGTTACAACATTCTTTTCTGTACTGACTATTTTGTCTGTTGGCTCCTGCATTGTTTTATCATGATTCTTGGCTTCCTTAGATTGGCTTTCAACATACTCTTGCATCTTGATCATCTTCATTCCTATCCATATTCTGAATTCTATTTCTGTAATTTCAGTCATCTCAGCCTGGTTCAGACCCTTTGCTGGAGAAGTGGTACAGCTGTTTGGAGGAAAGAAGGCACTCTGGTTTTTTTGGGTTGTGAGAGTTCTTGCACTGGTTTTTTTTTTTTTTTTTTTATCTTTGCAGGGTTATGTTCCTTCATTCTTTGAAGTTGCTGACCTTTGGATGGATTTTTTTCCTTTTATCCTATTTGATGACCTTGAAGGTTTCAGTGTTATGTAAGGTGGATTCAGTCAACTGGCTTCATTTCTGGAAGATTTTAGAGAGCCAACACTTAGTTCCCAGCTCCTGGACTGCATGCTTAAACTCTGGAGGACTTGTGTTGAGCCCCAACTTTGTTCTGTCTTCTCAAGGTTAAGAATCCACTGCACTGGGTGAGCCAAGATGCTCTCATTAGACTGCTGGTCACTACACACTAATGGGTGATGTCAGCCAAGGCATTTAGTAGTGCAGAGACAGTGGAATCCATCCTCGTTTGCATGTGCCAGCAGCAGTGGCAGCAGCAGCACGGCTGCAGTAGGGTGCTAGTGGGTGCTGGTGTGCCTGCCTCTGTGCCAGCATTTACCACAGTGGCAAAGGGAACACAGCTTGCATGGTGGGGGCCCCTGCTGGTGACTACGTGTGGTTGCAGTGGTAGTGGTGTTGACATGGGAGCGGGGTGCTGGGGAGCGTCAGCATTGGGGAGAGTCTGCTGTTCTCTATGCCTAGTTTCACTTGGAGTAGTGCTGGCAAATGGGTGGGGCATTGGCAGGGGTGGGGTTGGGGCTGGTTGGCTCTGTGCCTGCCAAGGCTCTGACTACAGTGGTGGTCAGATGGGAAAGTGGAGCAGACTGCGCTCCTGCTGCAGCAGTTTCAGGGCAGGGTGTACACATACACGCAGGCTGGCAGGACAAGATAAGCAAAACCTGCCCGTGCACACATGTGCTGGCAAAGCCATGTGGGGTGTTTCCGTGGGCCTGGGGGAAGATGCAGTGTGGAAGGAATGTGAGGGCTGGTGTGTGGCCCTGGGGGCTGGCCTGTGGGAGCTCTTCACATTTCAGGCATGGTCCACCAGCGCTGGAGCTATGATGTAGGCCCCTAGGGCGCTCAAGGCTTCCCTGCAATCAGGCATGGCCAGGGTGGGCCCTGAGAGAGACCAGCGAACTAAGGAGTGCTCAGGTAGTACCAGCCCTGCCTGATGAGTAAGACTGCCCTGCGAAGTTCAGGCCCAACGATTCCCCTAGGGCGAAAGTCTCCTATGGGAGCAAGTTGAGTCTAGAGGGGTGGCCGTCCCTGGCTGTGCTCCACTACAGCTGCTCCTGCTGCAAACCCTCTGGGTTCATCACCTGGCTACTGCCCTGGCCACTTCCCTAAGCGTATCTCCCTTACGACTCCAGTGTCCATGGTGGTCAAAGGATCTCCTGCCAGGATTCCAGAGGCTGGTCGTAAGAAGCGTTGCTCCTTGCCAGTTCAACTCACCCTTTACCCCAGATCATTGGGGGCTAGGAATGAGTTCCTGGGTGCAGTAGCCCGATGCAGGCCTCCCAGCTTCCTCCCCCTTTAGCCTAGCTTCTATGTCTTCCCTCCATTCACTCTCAGTGCCTTCCCTCTGAAGATCCGTTAGGACTGCACCAGTCAAATCAGTCCCTCGGTGGCAGCTGTTGCACCTGGCTGCATCTAGTTGGCCATCTTAACATGTATATTTCCATAACCGATTTTCGTGTGTTGATTTTGTA